TTTAAGTTTTGAACATACCTGGGGCATAGTCATGGCTGAGCATACAATACAAATACAGGTGGCTGAATTTGTCCCATAGCTGGCACAAAAACAAAATTACACATTACTTTTAAAGAGTTTTGACCAAAATCCAGCAAAGCACTTAAGTCTAAACACACTGCTGATTTAACTATCTCAGTTTATAGTTACACTGGTGCAATTTCCTAGCATGGATATACTCTGCTAGTATTTACATTGGCATAATTGGGCAAGACACTTTTAAGAAATGAATGCCACTGAAAGTCCTGGAAAGATAGGGTAAACCTGCAAGAGATAATACCAAATTTGAATAAACTCTAAAAGCAATTGCTGGAGGGACATAAGAAATGGAAAATATCTACTAAATTAAAATAGTCTGTGAGCTTTGTTGAAACACACAATAAAGAGACTGCAAAGTCACATTCTCTCCACCAGCTGTGTGCCCTGTCCCCTAAACATGGTAAACCTGCCTGGTGATGTACTTCATTTACACAGAAAGAAGAACGACATCACTACGGCCTCCCACCTCTTTGACATGGAAGTAAGAAATCCTGCATTGAATGAAACTAGAAGAATTTCATGATTTTCAGCACACTGATTCAACCAATGCAGTTCAACACTATTGCTGAAAACTATATTTTGCTCAGTGAACAGCAACCTTTTCATAATGCTGGAACAACGTCTTTCCCTTTTTTCCCCTCTTCTGTAACACCAATGGAGAGGCAGAGTCCTACCAAACAAAAATTTCCCAATAAGTAAGTCACTAATCATGTATCATTTTCTGGTTCTATAACTTGAAACTGCAGAGTCTGCCATTGAGAAGCACTAAGCCTTTATGGCTCCATCTGAAATATCATCTGCAAAATCAGAATTTTGATCTCTCTCTCTCTCTCTCCTATTCTTTATTATTTTTTTTTTTTTCTAATTGGAAATTTCCTGTGGAAAGGATGTTGACTGGTATACTTTTCAAGTTAAAGACAATTTTGGGCTTAATTTTCCCATGCAGTTCTGTGTAGGAGAGACAGCCAAGTATCTAACACCATGGAAACAAATTCACTACTGATCATGAAATACACAGAAAGTCACTTGACCAAAAAACTTCTGATCTACTCCAAACACACTTGACAAACTCATTTGACTTCAAATATTTGCACTGTGATATTTTTATTACTCTCTTACTATTAAAATGACCTTGCATTTCACACCTTGAAGTCATCTGTTACCCACTTGCAATACTTGTAACTCTTCTTTGTCAATTCTTTAAAACCTTCTACAGACCCTTCCTGACATTTCTCAGAATAGTTTTGCTAACATGTTGCTATTCATATCTGAATTGGTTTCAAAAATAGTAGCTCCTTCCAAAGAACATAGATGAAATGTCTAGATTATACCTTGTATACTGTAAGACCCATTGAACTGCATATTCTCTAATTGTTGGGTTGAAATGTGTTGAAATGTGGAAATCTGTTTTAGGTTCTGAGTGGCATGCAGTGAAATCTCTGAGTCTTCTGAGAGAAATCTCAGAGATTTTATATTTTTTTTCTATTACTTCTCAAAGGCTCTTGAAGTTAAGAGTTTCACACAACAGTAGTCAACAGTGTCACTGTTAACCAACTTTCCAGTACATATGTCTCTGTTATCAGTACTGTGTACTAATGGAAAATAAATGTTTTAGCCTAGTTCTACCTCAGGAAAGGACTGTGTCTAGGATCCTCCTAGAAATCTTGTAAAATTCTTATTTATACCATACTTAATGCTTTAATTATTGCATTTCCCTAGATCTATTTATTTTCTTTTTGTTTATTTTTACTATAGGGTGGTTTGCTTTGTTTATGCGAGAAAATGGGATGTAAAAACTAAGTACTACTGTTACAAGGTCTACAGGTTTACTTGTTGCTTTTTCCCATTTTGTATAAACAGCAAACATTAAGAGAAGATGCACAGTGCACCAAATTCTCATTCCACTCAAAGAACATAATGGTTCTAAATCAAATTCTTCAAGACACCCAAGATGCAGTATTAGAGTCACCAGTACAATCCTTGTCCTGTCCCCTTCTTAATAAGCATTACAACTGTCAGACTGTTTCTGCCTTTCATTAAATGCATCATTATCTACCAGCACATGGACATACTAAAAGAATGAACATTAATCTACAAATACTTATGTTCTAATTCTACTTAAACATACAAAATATAAATACTTTTATTTTGTGATTTCAGTGAACTCTACTACACTCCAAGTAATTGCTGTAAGTTTCTGTAAAAAAAAAAAAAAATAAATAAAAATAATAACCAAACAAAAAAAAACAACCACTGCCAAAATTAAGAATAGCTAAAGTTTAGCGTGTTTTTCTGTTAGCCTCTGGCAATCCACTTTCAGTTTTCTTGGATACCATAAAGAATTTAACAACTTTCCTTTTTTGTCATATGAACCATCCTGCCAGAAACTCTATGATTAAGTAGATTTCTCCACTACCAACAAACAAAGCCCTATGTTGAACTATTTCTGTTTTTTCAGTTGCATTGTGATGTTGCTAAATAAATCCAGTAATCTCACAACAAAGTCATAATTGTGCTCTGGATCACAAAGTTTGCAACCTAAATGTCAGAACTAAAAAATTACTATTTGAATGAAAAGGGAAAATACAGTATAAAACAGACCCATGCCCTACAAAACCTCTATCCATAATCGTGTTTCACTTCAGATGCACAAATAATTGATGTACTGTACAAATCAGGCCTGCAAATTGGTTTGCCTCCCAAACTGTGCTTCAAACCTCATTACATTTAATAGCTCCATACCAAAATGCCAAGACCATCAAAATAAATAAATAAATAATTAAATAAATCTGGCTAGGTTTATGCACTTAAAAATAAATAAATAAAATAGTATTGAAACAGACCAATGTGGAAAAGTGTAGTATTAGGAAGTTCTAAATTCACACTACTCTTCAGCAGTATAAAGGGGGATTAATCAAGAACTGTGATGGTGAACTTCTAGAAGACCGAGTTTAAGAAGTGAAATCAATTCCAACAGTGCAGTGTCACACTGCTTGGCTTAATTACTGAACCCTTTTCTGTCAGCTGGAAAAGCAGTTACTGTGCTGTTTGGAGATAGTGGTATCTAGCATTCTTTTGCATGCCCTGCACTCCCATCCTTTGTGTGGAGTTACACAGAGCAGAGATGACAGGTGATCCTCCTGGACAGTCCAGCTACACTTCTGAACAGCTAAGCCTGCTTTGCTTAAGCACAAGATAAAATGGTAGTGACCATGGTATTCCAACATGTTATATGTGTAGAACTGAAAATAAGTCCTAAATTACAATCAATATTTTTACTTTATACCAGGAGGAGGTGGGTAAAACTTAATAAAATAAAATTAAATTAAATAGACTTCTGGAACACTTTGTGGATCTTACCTTGATAAACATTAAAGAGAATTCTGGAGATTTTGTCTGCAGAGAGAAAATCATCTAAATTGTCTGGAAAATCTCTTGAATCTTGTGATCAAACACAGCCCTAGGCTCTCCCACTTTAAGTGCTTGTGGATCTTGCTCAGAACATGCAGCCCAATGAAACAAAACCAAAGCTATTTTACTGTGATAAAGACTGCAATAGGATGGTGTTTGTACAACATGCAAGTTGATGTTCTTTAGATGGCTTGGAAATACTAAATTCAAGGCTTGTTAGGTGTAAATTTACAGACAGAACATGCAAAGAATTTTAAGGTTTCTTTAGTCAATTATTTTAAGTAGAACACTGAGTACATCAATGCTACAACAATACAAATTAATCAAACAAGAAAAAGTAAAGTAATTAAAGCTGAGTAGTGAGACGGATGAATTCAGAGGTAGATAAAACTTCTGCAATGCATATTCAAGAGCCTGAGTAATTAGGTGTAGCTGTAGGAAGATTGTTAACATGCCCATTTTAGTATATCTATGAAATCTACTTCACAGAGGAACCAAATACATTGCTTTTGTGTCTCACTTCAGAAAACTACACAAAATTAGGGAGGAAAGACTTTGCTGCGATTGAGAGGATGGAACAAGATGTAGTTCTGTTGAGTCTTGACTTCCTATTCAGTCCTGGACAAATGAATTAATTTTCCATTTGTAAAATAGTTAACTTCTGTAACTTCCTTCTGTATTTATGTGTTCTAGAAGAACGTGTATCAGGTATGTTGAGAATACTCTGATGGAGAGCATAGAAATAAGTAAATTATGGCTCCAAATATGCAAGAACAGAACTTACAGATGCACAAATGCATCAGATGCAGCGGGTCACTGTGATAATACAGAAGAGAGAGAATATGGTGAAGATTTTATACAGCTGTATTTTGTAAATCCTTTCAGATTGTAACTTTTTCTTATTGTCAAGTGAGGGTATGCTTAAGGTGATGAGGTAAATCTATAGAGACTATCTATATATATGGTAGTATAATCTATATATATGGTAGTTGAACCACATTGAGTCATTCCTGATTGGAATGCTTTGCAATAGACATGGGCAATGATAATTTCAACAATGTGAGATTAATTGTAACATTGAGCACATAAGAAAATCTATGTAATAATCTTATCCTGTAAATCGAAATAATGTAAAAACAAGTAAAAGCCACCTTGTTTGCCTTGTCAATAATGTAGCAAGTTATTAATCTGGCATAACAACAGAATGAAGAAGAGCACAGAATACCAGCTTGAATCAAAACACTGATGAGGCAACCTATTTATAATAAAAAGTAATCCAATTCTTTATGTTTTTGAAAATATTTCGTGTTTCTTCTCCCTCAGGCTTTGTTTCCCTGCAAATTTGTGTTCAGGTAAAGATTTAACCATCTCTGCTCTCACCCCCACCAGATGCTTAAAACTTGCAGTTTTAAAAATATTTTGCCCACTATAGCACAGCAATCAAAGCAGCTTACTCTGAAAACATTCATTCTCTCACTGTTTCATAATGGAAAGTCACATAATTTCCTTACCTGAATGTATGTGAATTTGACTGGCTCTTTCTTGGCGTCTCTAAGGTGTCACTATATGGACAGAAGATCAGTTTTATGTTTATCCTCTTGGATATCAGTTTTATGTTTATCATCTTGGTTCTCTGAAACTGCAAGTGAGCCTGTGAAATGGGAAGCATGCCACATAATTAGAAAATTACCCACTGACAACTTGCTATCACCCTATTCCTTTTCTAAAAGGAACAATACATGTGCCAAACTGACAGAACTTCAGACAGCTAATAAAAGAAGCCCTTGAGTTTTCAGCAAAGACTTCAGCTTAAATTACAAACATGAGTTTATAATACGGTCTCTAAAGCTATGCCCTTAAAGGAGTGCATAACCTTTGAATATTTTGTAAACAGTGCTAACAGTGAAAATCATACTGGAGCAGTTTTTTCTTAGGCTGAAGCTTTTTCTCTTAGGCTGAACACCAGGCAGGTTCCAATCCCCTAAACCACAGCTTCAATCTTCATAGAAAAACATATTTCTGCATCAAGCATATTATTAAGAGGAGAATGTGGCCTCCAGGTTCTCATGGTAAAATTACTATGTAGTTTAGATTATCACAGAAAAGATTTTATACAAAGTGAAAGATCTGAAAGATAACATCAGCTGAAGTGACATAGTGAACTGATAGAATCCAGATAAAAGTCCACAGGATGTAATTCAGGAAAAAAAAAAGTAAAAAAAAAAAAGTAATATTTTATAACTAAAATCTTCAATCTGACAATAGGAAAAAAAGCATTTTCCTCATGAAAATTCAACAACAGAAAGCTCTTTAGGGGCTCCTGGTTGAAGTTATCTTTTTCTGCTTGAAATCTTCTGGTCAGTAATGCTAAGTATTGCTTTTGTATTCTGTATGTAACACTGATTTAGAGGTGCTAATTCAACATACTGTGAGAAAGTCACTATGATGTCTTTGTCTTTCAGACACTGAGGCCCAGGTACTCCTGAGCAGTGCAGTGCAGCACACCAACAGCCAAAGGAGACAGAACATCCTTTCCCACTCCCTGGCCATAGCCCTGTCATAGCTGGAAAGGCGGTGCTGGGAGTGCTGCCAGATTTTCTGAAAACGGTGTTGGGAACAAAAGGTATTGTTCCCATCTCAAACACAATTCAAGAATGAAATTAACACTTCTGTCAATAAAATTTTGGCCAAAGGTCAGCAGGACAAGTCTCCGGGCAAGAAGGAAAAATGCTATTCCTAGATGTAGAAAACACATGATGGAGTTGTGCCTCAGCTAATGCTATATGCAGAGTGACAGACAATCCTGTAGTACATTTACATGTTTTTTCTAGTTACATCTCTAAGGAAGCACTCATTGTATCTGCAAACAAATGATTGCATACATTGTATTAGAGATATCAAGAAAATTATTTAGTGCATTTCTACCATGATCATAATTGCAACAGACTAAAAAAAAAAAGAATTACTCCATAATAATTATCTGCTGTTGGATTCATCTTACTGTCCTCTGCTTATTTACCACTGTGTAAATGTTCAAGTTAGTTAAAAACATAGCTATCTGCTTTCTACTCTAATTGTTAAGATATCTCAAAGTAATAAAATCATATCATTTTTCCAACAATGCTCAGCCCTGTCGCAGTTAAAGCATTTTGTAATACAGTGCTTTCCTTTAACACACCAGGCTATAGCAGCCCAGCTGTAGAGGCTGAATTTGGACCGAGAAATCTTGCTTTCCAAGCCTTATCATCTTCATGGTTGCTGCCAAGCTGCATAGCTTGGCAGGTCACATCCTACATCTGCAACAAATGTGGGAACTGCCCTGTCCTCTGTCCCTGACACCCTAGTGTCCATACTCTGCACTTCCAGTCTGGAAGAGACTAGGTGACACTGCATAAGGTGTTTTCTTGATGCTTGGGTAGCAACAGGGGAATTTTGTTATGCCCTTGCATTTCTTTGCTGAGTTATTTGATGTTGCTGCGTACAGTATCTGGTATTATTTTCAGCAGCCCTGAAAGCAGCCCTTGCTATTTACTGGAAGTCAAACTTTGCAGAACCCAAGACTTTGTGAACCTTTATCTTTTTGGATGTTTACTAAATAAACAGGCAGGGCTACTATTGAGTGCATGTCCCATGTCACAAAGAGAAGCTTAATTTCATTCTTTTCTTAGAAACGCTTAACTACCACGGGGAAGAATAACATCAGAAGTCACGGTGAACTGTATGATCCTGAAAGAGAGATTAGAAAAAAGGCTCATGGGGAGGGGAAAGAAATTCTCCCATCTATCATTAACATTTTCAAGGAAAACAAAACATCTCATATTTAACCAAACTTGGATATGGATTTACTTTGTAGCATTCCATACAACTATACACATATCCACACTGTGTTTATTAAAAATAAACAGGTGAAAAGTTAAAAAAAAATGCAACTGACAAAGGAAAGGTTATTTATGTTTAAACTGTACTGGAGAAATTAGTCAAGGGCAATTCATGCATGTGAAAATATGATTTGTAACACTGCCAAGGTCGATAAGACCTTAGGGAGTAAATGCTAACCATACAAATCAAAGATGCCTAGAGGCAGTTTTGAAGGTGAATGGCAAGGCTTTAATAGTTTTAAAAAAGAAAAAGTTAATAATCCAAATGAATAAGCAATGACACAATAAGAAGAAATATCTTGTTTATGAAAGGAACAAACCATTACTAGATGTCTTTCTCGTCACTGACTGGATTGCCCAAGCTTAAAATCATATCCTTCTCTCCTGCATTTCTTTTCTAATCCACAATTCCTGGTATTATACCTACTTAAACCAGAGAAAGGAGTGGCACTTAATCAGGCTGTTTAAGGAGAGGTCAGATGGTTCACAAGGTTTTCACTCGACTGCCTGCGACTACCCTGCCATTTGACCCACAATAAGGTCCCATCCCACACACTTATGGTGGGAGTATATTCACAGAAGTAAGTATCTGATTCCTCCTCCAATGTGGAAAATGAATAAAGATGCAACCAGCCACACTGAATCAGAACTGCTGAATTAGTTTGGTTGTAAAAATGCTTTAACAAAAAGACAGCTTTGGTGACCAAAAAACTTTTATAATTAGTTTTCACTTTTTCTCAAGATGCCTAAAGAGATAGCATTTTTATCTGAAAAGTATACTGAAAACTTTTTTCATTTAACAATTCCTCACCCTAAATGAGCAAAAAGCACTTTTTCCAAAAAAGATCTTGACAATTTTTCATTTTAACCCCAGAATCTGAACAGAGTACTTCTAACTAGCTGGCTCCCTGACACTCCTTTGGTTGCCACTGTTATAATATCTAAACATCTCATAAGTTCCAGTTTGTCTTTTCAAAGCACTGGGTAAAGTTGGAAGTGTTTCCCACACAACACAAATATCTGGGACACACATCTTGTCAAAGATATCTGAAATCAAAGTGACTTTTAAAACAATTTTTGAAGGAATGGAGTTTGAGTCATTAAACATAGCATGAACTATTAACAGGGTGAGTTTGTTTCTGAGTCAGACCCTCTGAAACCTAAACAAAGATGAATTCAGGATAGAGCTGGCAATTAGAATTCATTATGCATTTATTCACTTTTATTAATTGTCAATATTAGGTTTTTGAATACTCTTGTATTTTACATCACAAACTCTTTACTTGCTCATGCTCAAATTAAAAATTCCCACACACCTCCTCTAATCTACTCTTTTCTTGGATGTGTATTTCAATGTCTTTGCCATCTTACTATTAGAAAAAGAAATAAAAAAGAGATTGACCAGATATGCAGATTTTACTGATTTAGGGATTAGATGCTTAATCTGGCATATTCAGAACCTCAGAATGAAAAAACAGTAAAAGTGAGAATAATGAGAAAGTGAGCATGTGTACAGCAAATTAAAGTAAATAATTACGGACCAGCTGAGTGTAGGGAGATGGTAACCCAAATTCAGGCAACCAATTTAAATCAGGAAAGGTGGATGAAGAAAAGGAGGAAAGCAAAGAGGGGAGCCATCAGACAAACATGCAAAACTGTTGTGTTCTACTTCACACAGTTTTGACTCCAGACAGAAACTGAGTAGAAACAGAGCAGATGATTTTGGAGATATCTTAGAGGTAGGAGGGCAAGTCTCCGTGTAAATCTTGGTGTCCAAGAGATGTAAAGAGTTTTTTGTCTTTTAATCTTTCTCTGTTTCTTCTGGCATTCATTTCCTCCATTCCTCTGTCTCAGGGCTATTCTGGACTCAGAAATTAGAGAATTTGATTCAAATGTTCAAAAGAGTGAAAGAATTACACTTAAGCTACCAGCACAGTTTGATCTGCATGGGTGGCAGTTGTCAGAAGGTAAGTGCCCCAGCCCCCAACTTTTTTCCCCCCAGATAGATGTGCACTGACTCCTGCCTAAATTCAATGCATAAGACGGTGGACTGAACTTGTCAAAAAGGAGGTCTTTGCAGTCTTCTAGCTTTGGAGAGGGAAAGACTGCCAGGTAAACTGCATGGAAAATACAGATGGAAAATATAGTAAGAACCCATTACACATATTAGTCAGTGGTTATCCTGGCAAATACATCCCTGAAGAGCACATGGAAAGTGCAGGACTCAGCTGCTCAAGATTTCTTGAGTCTCTTAAAACTGGACTTGTACACAGCTGATTCCTTACATAAAATTTCCCCCTCCCTCCCTGCAGAGGAGGAAGGGTAGCTAAAACAAGGATAGTCTTCCCTGAGATGAGTTGGTAAAGATCAAACAGTATTTGCTTGAGGTTTCCAGTGAAATTTTGCCAGAGGACAAAGAGCTGTATGGGCCAAGATAAACCAGAAGCTCTACAAGTGGAGGACTGTGTTTGTTGGCTGAGTTTGCAAATCAGATGAAGCCAAAGCACAGAGCCAACAGCAGCTGTTTCTACCTTTTGTGTGTGTGTGCGTGTGTGTGTGTGTCTCAGCACAGTATGCAAGTAATTTTTAATTTGTTATGGAGTTGGACTGGAAAAGCCAAACATAGTATTGCAGAATTTAAATCCAAAAAATATAATATTTCAGGTTAGGAGACCTGTAGCTGGTAAACTGAAACCACTATTTCTGTTTGCATTCCATTTTCTAGTTTGGTCACAGCATTCTTTTCTATCTTGATGTATTTAACTTAAATGCTCAGGTATTGCTCTGCATGCACTTTGGATTTTTGCAATGCATCCAAACCTGTTCACAACATTTTAAAACCCCTATTAGACTTTATTACCAGCAAAATCAGTTAACAGTGGTTTTTCATTTGTTTGTTTTTTAGACTGCAGTGAAAACTTCTGCCTCTGGAGGCATTTGGAATGCTTTTGGTTCCAGGGGGAGTTTGCTGACACATTTTGCCTAGTATTGCCAACATATTCTTATAAAATAAATCAGCTACTGTAAGACAAAATGCCACAGCTCCTCGCCTGCCTACTCCATTTTAAAAGGTAGAAATATTGAAGTTGTACAGAAGTTGGGTAATGTAGAAATAACAAATAACCTGTTAACAGGTACTATCATACTTACTTGAACCCCTGTGCAGCTGTTGGAGTTGACTGTTGTGGTTTTCCTCAAACCTTGTCCTCAACAAATATCTCATAGCCACGATTTTGGTAGGTTATCCCACAAGGTGTGCAAGGAACACATTGTCCTCCACATATAACTTAAAGATGTGTATTTGACATCTTCTTTGGAGACATTTGTAAACTTGCAGGAATTCTTTAGCATGACAACACTACCCACCTTCCCAAAGGCTGGCAAAATCTGCAAGATATTCCTGTGTGTGCCTATAGCTTAGTGTTAACTGAAGAGGTCATAAATCTAGATTTTTTGCCCAAAGAGATAGGAAGAAAGACAGATATCTTCAAAAAATATGCTACAATAACTAACTTGAAGTGTTTCAGAGTTATTCTAGAACAAATTCAGGACTAATACAAAGAGAAAGAAAGAGGAAAAGAAAAGAAAACAACAGCAACAAACCAAACAAAACATAACATAATAGTCTGTACCTTATTTTCTTATTTAAGACCAAAGTGCCACAAGATAGTTTATATAAACAGGCAAGAGTAATAACACCTAAGGGGCATGACAATTAAAATAGTACATTATTTTAAGAAATAAAAGGCAGATAAATTAAGATGATGTTTCAATCAATCTATGGTACTTTACATTAGCTGAGTATCTGCCCTTAAATATTAAACAGCAGTCCTGACACTTAACTTGTTTTTTCAATTCTAGACTTCAAAGACACTTTGCAGTTCAATGGTACAAAGTAAGAGTAACCCTACTGCATTCTGCTTCTGGCCAGGAACACAGCTGTCATTTGCACAAAACTAACTATGCAGTTGACTTAGTTTTTCAAAAGATGGAGTGAAGAACAACTACATAACTATATACAAAAAGGCAAGTTTAGCTAAGTAAAATGCAATTATCCTAGCTAGAATTTTTTTTGGACACTATTAGTAACAAACACCCCTTGTCCTATGAAAAAGTGCCAGGAAATTTTAATTGACTACAAGTATCTAAGGCTGCCATTTAACACATCATCTGAAAGATGAATTCATTGGATCCATACTTAACTACCATGTAACCTATATTATGGCTTACAAGATGGAATGATTTTGCTTTACATGACAGTTACTAGGTCTACTTTTACTTGCAGTTATGCCAGTGAAAATTTGGATCAAGTCCATTAAAGTGAATGATTCTATAAAATCAGGGTAAAATTAGACTGAGGTCCACCATGAAATTTAATAATAATTGGTGTTACAAACTAGGCCAGTCTTCTGCTTGATAGCAAAAGTGGTAGCTTCACATTGACAGCAAGTGAAATCAAGCACCAAGTATCACATACTTCTAAAAGACACATTAAAACTGGGCCCTTCCACAGACACAAGATCATACAATATGATGTGTTCTCAGCACATTGTGTATCACACAATACATATATTGCCTAGCACTTTGAGAGGACTCTATCATGAAAATATGGAAAGTGAGAAATTCAGCAGGAATTTTTGATTATAACAACATTGAACTCTTAATCACTTGATAATTAAATATTTTTCTTATTACCATCAAAAATTTTGAGACACATTCTCTTTTTTGCTTTGGGCTTAACTTGTTTTTTGTGTTGAAGGATTTCCACAGCTTAAGATCAGGCAGATCTTTTTCTGTTTCCTGATGGGGTTATCATGCTGCAGAGAACAGAGCTTTTCTCCTAGTATGGACTTCTGCCTTTTATTTATTTAAAGTTCCGATCTTCATGGTAGTGCAGATAAAGGCCTCATGAAGTGAGTCTGCTTCTGGGGTGCTTCTAAAGTTGAGTGTTCAGTCTTTACTTCTCTGCAGTCAAATATCCTAGTAGGGTTTTTCTGAAATGGAGAATTACAGCTTACAATTCAAGGAAAAAACAGACAGATGATTATCATCTAATTTATTACAAAATGGCAAACATTGACCATTCTCTCCAAATCCAGGTTTCATGACTTCCAAATACCAGGAAATAAACATAGAATAAGTGGTATTCAGGTATTATACTTGATAGAAGCTTTGTTTTTGTATCAGTCTTTACATAATGTATTTCTTTAATTTATTTATTGTAATACTCAAGGCAGAAGGCCAAAAGTGTAAGAGGACTATAAAAATGCTACTTAGTGAAGTTTAAATTCAGCATCTGGTAAATGTATGCTTTAAGAATATAACCTAATGAGTGAAGATTTAACAAAACAAAACACTTTATTTCCTCTTTAACTGCTGTTCTAAAAATAGTAATTTCAATATAAACTAGGCAGTTTGGAAGTGTGTGACCAGAACTAGATATACTTGTACTGTTCATAATCTGTCCTGGGCAGACAAATTGAACCACAGATTAGCTCGCTATACAAGACACTGTACTTCAATATAGCTCTGGGCCAAAAACAGGGTGAGCAGAAAGGAGTTGGAAAGGCAGTAAGATGATGTATCAAGGTAGAAATAGAGAAATTTGTTCTCCTGCCTGAGAAATTAGTTAAATTAGCACTTTCTCTGGAAATTCAGATTCTGAAGAAAACAAAGACAAGCAACGGCTCTTGCCCACCCTTGCTATGGTTTGTGCTGCATTACCAAATACTGCTCATTGCTTGAGTTTTCACATTGTAAACTGTTGCTAACCAACTGCTTTACAGGAATTACACAAACAAGAACACAACATTTCCTTCCTAAGTTCGCAGACAATTGGCTAACTTGAAAAAGTATGTTTCCATCTATTACAGCACATGAACAGGTTGATAGCTTTCAAACGAACCCATTTATGTTAGAAACGATAGTGATATTCAATTATTTCATTGAGAATAATATGTATTGAAACATTTCACATTGTTTTTCATTTTCCTTGTTTCAATATTCTCTTAACTTTGATTTGTGCCATCTAACAACTACAAGTTATCCAAAATAATTGTTGCAGATAACATCCATTACATTAAAGATGATCCGTGTTTATAAAACTAGATTGTTTTATGAATAGAATACATTGAGAAAATATAACTGTCTCAACAATTTTGTCAGTTAAAAATACAGTGATATACCTTGGATTTCTACACTTCAGTGCATCTCATGAGGGAGTGAAATGCTTATTAAATGGTAGCAACCATTATTCTCCAAATCTTCTTTTATATGCCTATTTTAAGTATTTGATTATTGCCTGGCTAATAATAGGTGTTTCTTCAAAGGACATACTAAAGAATATAGTGTAAATTGTAGCGTATAATTGTTCACTGCCTGCCATTGAAAATGTTTAGCTACAGTTGTATGACAATCTTCCCCTGATGTCAGCATCCACTTTTTCATGTAGCAACAATTACAGCTGTGGGAATTAGGAAAAACCTACACAGACAGCAACCGCACTCCATTTATTTTTAAGTGCATAGAGTACTCCAGAGTCCAGGTAAACCCAGCTGAGACCACAGAGAAGAAATCACACCAGTGATTTTTTGGGTAGGTGCTGAAGGGACTACAAACCTGCCAGTTTAACAGTACTGCAGGGCACAGCTCATTCCGTCTTTCCTTCTGCTCCTTCACCTTGGCCACCACAGTAACCTTTGTTCCCTGCTCGGTCACAGCCACATTTTGGTGGCATCCTACCTTGAACATGCAAAGAACTGCATATGAATTGAATCCAGAGGGGGCCAAGGAGGTTGACAGCCAATAACTGTCTCGGAGGTAAATGAGGCAGTGTTATGGAGGAAGACCTTGAGAGCCTGGCAGTTTGGCAAGAGAGAGCAGTGATAGGCTTCGAAGCCAACGGACTAGCACATTGCAGACACAAACAGACTCAAAGAAAAACAAAAGCTTCCCAGAAAGCAGCAAGATGTGAGGAAACTGAAGCAAGAAATTACTTTTAGAGTCTGATAATTTTATTTTGCAGTATATTTTAATCTTGCAAGTAATAATAAAGGGAAAGATAAAAAATAAAATAAATAATAAAAAAAAAAAAAACAACACACTTTTAGCCCATTTGAATTGAAACAATGTTTCAATTTCAAATGTATCCTCTGGCCTCCAAAAATTTTAATGAAGTGATTGGAGACAGACCAATTCAACACAAGAGGATGGATTTCAACCACTCTTTTTTTCTCTTTACCATCAACAAATACCACAGAATAGACTGGCAACACCACTGGCAGATCTCAGTGACAAAGACTACAGAGGGCATTGAGGGCCAGAAGCAAATTTAAGTATTTTTTATGAGTACCAGCTCACATGCTTGTTGCACATGTTCATGAGGACATTAATTTTTTGAATAACTACAGGTGCTCAGACCATCTTGCCCCATTTCTTCCTACCCCCAGCAGAACACTCACAAATTATTGTAGGTAATTTTGCAATCAGCCAATTGTGTTATCCAAGCCTTTAACACTTAGAGAAGCCTTTTCATCCAGCAACAATGTAAAAGGGAAGGTGCCAACAGATCCAAATGGGCTCCAGAATGATTTATTCATCCTAGGCCTCTAAGTATTAATACTGAGGAAAAGGGGCTAAGATTAATGTATCCCATCAGCGCGCTGCCAACAGGAACTTTAATAAAAGCAAGAACAACTTAGTTGGCCCAGCTTTCTTTTTCTTAAGGTTAGGACATCATAAAAACTGTAGCCTACAAAGGGCTTTTCCTTTAATTTACTTATTACCTCACAAAATGAAAGTAAATTCATTTAATTTAAAGAAAACACACAGATTACATGAACATAAATATATCACTGTCTGAAGTCATTCATAAGCCAATTTTTTTTCAAGGACAAATGCCATATATTTGTAGACTTTTGAAATGGTGCATATGCATTATAAAACTATTTTTCTTAATGTAGTGCAGACAGATGTATTTGAATATAACCAGAACATACTATATGTAATACCTATGAAAAATGCCAGATTCATAATGACAATGACTAAATTAGAGTGAGTAACTAATAATATGTATCTACCAACTAACATGAAAGAATAATGTGTCAGAGGTGAAGGAATACCTGTATGAGTATCTTCAATAGTTCTTCCATTTCAAATCTGCTCATTCACACCTGTTACTATGGACAATACAAATGTACCACGTTGATGATTCTCCCAATGTGGACTCATGCCTTTATTCCACATGGGCCACTAAAGAGTCTTAACTGCTTGTTGAATTGCAACCAGCTGAGCTAGATTTTGTCCAGCATAACATAGTGCTAAAGGACTCTCTCTCTCTTCCCTAACCCTCCGACTCTGCAGTTTCTACACACTAGATCTTCAAGTCTCCAAATTCAAAATCTGAACCCATCAAAGTCTATCCAGGAAAGCCTGAAGAATACATATATATAAATATAATAATAATAAGTAAGTACAATAAATATAATTTGAAAGGATAACTGAAAAAATGAATGCTGTTACCAGACTTGCTGAGGGAGTGAAATTCTAACAACCTGCAGTATGATAAAAGCATCTAAATGGACTGCAAAGGATACTGCAGACTGTGTTCAGACTACACTGTATATTTGAATGCATGAATGCAAATGTGTCCATTTGGCACATAACTGCAAATCTGTCTAAGCCATTTAAAAGTAAGATTTCAAATTCCTTCCTGACCACATCGCTAGATTAGAAAATGCTTCCACTTCCACCTGTGAGATGGTTTTAAGTTTTTTCTTATGAAGACCAATCTTCCTGCCTTCTTTTGTGAAAAAGTATGTGTGCGCACATGCACACACTTCTCTTTTTTTTCTTCTCAGCCTTTACCAATTGTTCCCCTAGATCAAGCATAGAAACTGAAGAGTTGCTGGGTGGTGGTGATGGGTGAGTGGAGCAGAAACTCTATTTCCCCCTAAAAAGTAGAGGTTGCACATCTGAAAGAACAGAAAGGCCTTTTATTCCTCTGAAGAAAAGAAGAGGAAAAAGCTCTTCACAGCGCAGATGAAAAATATTGCATTTGAATCCTGGGAAGATCTTGTTCTTCCTACAGTGGAGAATAGTCCATTCACTGCACAATTCAAATAGCTCTTAGCTTTTCAAATACATGCAATTGGCAAACAGGATAGCATGCATCTGTTTACTTTTTTTTTTTTTTAAATTGTTTTACGATCACGATATGTATGTCAGACTAAGATATTTTATGTCACTCCATTCAAATGGGAAAGTTAAAATTTCTGAAGTATCTCAGGCACTAGCTTCAAAACTTCCCCTCTTTGGATGTAACTGCATTCTAAGCTTTGATTTGCTTTCTCAGATTTGTAGGGATTAGTTGTTTAGTCCTACAGAAGTACAATAAATTGCAAATGAGAAGGAAAAAAAATGTCAGTGTAACCTACATTTACAGGTCTAAATTGATACATAAAACTCACAAAGATTTGACCAAATTCAGAGCAGAATAGTACTCAGTGAACCAATCATTTTCTTTTTTTCTGAAATGTCTTGCAACCATTTTGAAAATTCTCCTAAATTTTGTTTCCTAAAAAAATGTTTCCTAAAAATGCATATCAATACATGAGAAGGTGGTCAGGCACTGGAAGAGGCTTCCCAGGGAGCCTGTCAATATTCAAGAAATATTTGGACAACATGCTTAGACATGTGGTTTAACTCTTAGGTTGCCCCGTGTGGAGTCGCGAGCTGGACTTAATGATGCTCATGAGTCCCTTCCAACTCAGGATATTCTATGATTCTATGAAACATAAACCTTGAATTAAAAAATATTTGTAGTTACAAATGGCAAACACTTGCAGAGCAAACAAAAACAGATTTGTACAACGTTTACTGGTCATGTAAAATGTCATGTTATATTTCTAGTCTTTTGTTAGATATGTAAATAAAAGCACAAATTGAGAATGGTAAAAGGTAAAATTGACAGAGAGCTTTCATAGGTAAATATATA